CCGCCATTATCTTTCTGTCAAAGTCGTATGCTCATTTAGATCCCCCTTGCCGCAAGCCATGGAGGCCTTGAAGGTGGGGACTGAGAACTTGAACTTGGTTTGAAAGGCAGAGGCTCTACGGTGAAGCATGAGGTTGGAAGCTGCTACCCACAAGCTGGCATGCGTTAGGTTTCTGTAATCACAAATGTTGGGCCTAAAACTTGTCATGTCTCTTTAAGAGCAGTCTGCCCTCTGATTAGGAGACTCAGCTCTCTTCCAGATAACTCTGATCTCTCCTAATTACAGGTCCCTAGAGCCCTGGTGCTGGGCTCTGCTGGGCTTTGAATCAGGCTCTGATTTCCCTTCAACAGAGAATGACTTTGTTAAGCAGATCTGTTGTCCTAAGTGGTCTGAGCTTGTGCATTTTCCTTTCTGTGTATCGGGGTTGATCCCTGTCCCAGGTATTCGAATAATACCTCGTGCTGCTGCATTGGATACAAGAGAACTGGGTGCATTGTGATAAGCAAGAGTGCAGTCTAGCGGTCAGAGTAAGGAATGGGAGTTGGTATTCCTGGCTCTGGGATGGAGAGTGGGATCCAGTGGTTAGAGCAGGGGACTGAGAATCAGAACTCCTGGGTTCTATTCCCAGCTCTGGGAGAGGAGTGGAATCTAGCGATTGGGGGTGGGGAGCTGAGAGTCAGGACTCTTGGTGCTCTTTTCAATTCTTCCACTTCCTGTGCAACAGTGGGCAAGGTCATGTCTCCCTGCCTCAGTTTCCCTTCCCATAAAAAAGGGAATAGTACCTACCTCCTGGAAGGATTAAGGAGGTTAAGGTTTTGCTCAGTTTGTTGAAAGGTGGTACAAAAGATTAGCGGTATGAAAACATCTCCATTAGCCAGCTATCCTCTGGTGTTTATCCTGGCGCAGGTCAGTGTGTTAGTCTATTGTGTAATTAGAGACAGTCAATTAGTTTCATATGCCAGATTCGTGCCATCTGACAAAACTGACATGAATAGAAATGCGTTAATGGGTCTTTAAAGGGAGTCTCTCAGCTGAAAGGCCACTGAGCTGGAAAGGAATGGCTACAAAACCTCGGGGTTATTAGAACAAGAGGATTCTAAAAATCCAGGTTGCCATTTACTATTTATGAGTTACCATCAATGGCATGCAGGCTCCTAAAGCCTATAAGCCCTTTGGAAAATGTTAGCCTGTTCCCGCTATTGCTTTTGCATAGAAGTTGCTCAGATACTAGGGAGCTGGGCACCCGTATAAAACCCTGAGATAGGTAAGTCTGTCTGCTAAGCAAAGGAAATCTCACTAGTATCAATTTCACTCCTGCTTATAGTCATTTTCACTCTAGGGCTCTCTGAGCTGCAAGAGGCATGGGGGACCTTTTGTCTGTTTCAAGTGGGACTTAGTTCAAAAATAATTGGAATATTTCAGGATTTGTTTTTAGACAGCATTGGCGGGTTTAACCAAAACTTAAATTTTTGGAGGCCAAATTTGAATTGGCTGCTCGTTAAATGGTTTTTTAATTACAGTAGCCCCCAGAGATATTGATTGCAACCGAGGACTCCTTGTGTCTGGGTTCTGTACAGACCTGAAATGAGCCAGTGTCTGCCCCAAAGAGCTTACAATGGAACTCCCAGAGCTTGCAACTGATTGTACAGGGAGTATCCCCTTGGAAATCAATGGGGCTTAGTGCCAGGGTCTGTCCATACACTCAATTGCGGGATTGGAGCCTCAGTTAACCCTTTGTCCTGCCACAGTGCCGAGAACCTGCAGGATGGCATCTTAACCCTGCTGGCGAAGGAGTGAAACTGACCAGTGTAGAGGCACTGTGTACGTTCCTATCCTGCCCTCACTACCATAGGGTTTGGTCACTTTTCAGTCCATGCCATAAGCAAGGTGACTCCCATCTGTCTCCTGCGGTTCATTCTTTCACCAGGGGGAGAGCTGTGTGTGCAGTGGAGGTGCTGGTTTTGGTAGGGTCTTTTTATAAATGCCTGTGCTGTGCTGTTTTTATAGTGGGGAAGGCTGATCAGAGGAGGGCACATAGAACTAGGAAGAAGAGGTGGGGAAGTTTGAGATGATCCCTAGATCCTGTGGCAGTCAGTTCCAGTGTTGTGGATGGGCTCTCAAAGAAGCTCTGTCTCTCTCACAGACGAGCTTCACCTGGGTGGTAGAAAGTGCCGTGGGACTGGAGGAGTGGGGCTGTCAGCCACAATCTCCATCCCAGAGCTTTGGTTCCAGGGGTCCCTGACCCAGGCCCACGGCCTTGAAGAGAAAGAACGAGACTCTGAGATGAGACAGGCCCAAAAAGGGAAGAAATTATTGGTGTTGGGCCAAGTGAATTAGAGGCTGGTGATGCAGAGAAGATTCCTCCATCACTGTCTGGGGCTGCCCCCAGTTTATGTAACTGATTAGCAGAGCCTCACAAGTCTTCCTAGACCTCCAGAAGAAGGCAGAATGGCTGATCTCCCCTCCCAAGGCATTGATCTGGTGTGGATGATGCCAGGGAAGAAGAGAGGGGGAAGGCGTATTGCAGGTCAGGGCAACTGCACCTGTATTTGCCCCTCATGATCCAGCCAGGGAAGCCACTTAGGCTTCTGGCTCCCAGTCATCACCTCTCTTGGGTGGAGACCTGCGTCTCTCTCCTTCCTGCCCGGGGTATTTCCAGGCTGCACAGCTCCCTGCCTACACTGTGAGTTCCTCAGCAAGCCAGACTGCCTGAACGGGCCTGCTTTTCCCTCTTTCCTCAGAGGCTACAAACAGCCCAGTCTCCACAGGTAAGGTACCACACAGCTGTTAGCAAGCACATTGATTCTTAAAGTAAAAGCATTCTTAAAAACCAGCAAAGAACCAACACGCCTGCTAATAAGCTTTCCAAAGATCACCCCGCTTCCAGCCAGGTAACTCACAGGCAGTGGGTTTCTCCTCGGGGAGCGGCTTCCAGCAGCTGAGGTTTTGCATAACAGAGGCGTTACGTTTGCATACCCCTCCCCTTAGAGATTTCCTGGGAAACGTACTTAACTTTAGAAGGCCCCATAGTTTCAGATGATCCCCCAAAGCACATAACCCTTCCCTGGGTTTCCATCGGAGACGTCACATACAGTCCCACAATAATACATAACCGCCTGCCTTTGTAATACAATGAACTCCTAAGCTACTTAAACTTAGTTCTGTAAGGTACGGCCAGGAGAGTGCAGGAAATTGTCTTCTCTGTCCCGTGTCCATGCAAGGATCCCTCTTCCCCGCCCCCTTGGGGCTGGGATCGATGGTGGGAGACAGTGGCTGGTGAGCCAAGCCTGTTTCTATAAATAGTCCAGAGAGAGTAGGAGACAAAGTGAAAGTAGGTCAGACAGACTGAGCGTCTGGGGGAAGCAGATGTGAATTCAATCCCACTCTGTAGGGCTCCACGGGAGATGGGCTGTGGGGACTAGAGGGTGAAGGGAGTGTGGGCGGGGGTAGTTAGCCAGCAAATAGCTGATCCCCAGAACCCTTTCAGGGCTGCCCTGCCCTGCCCTGTCCTGTCCTGTGGGATCAGGGGAATCCCCGTAATCTTGGTCTCCTTCCCTCCAGCAGTGAATCAGTCACATCTGTAGGATGTTGTTCTGCTTCGCTGGTGCATTTCAGGCCCTCGCCTGGCCCATTTCTCAGCCCTTTCTGTAGGGCAGGGATGACAGGACTAGAGCGCGGTGATGCCGGGTTTCCACAGAAGTGTTGCTATTTAGCGATTAAAGTGGGGGGGCTCCTGGGGTTCTGTCCCCAGTTCTGGGAAGGGAGTGGGTTGTAGTGGAGAGAGTGGGGCGGCAGGGAGTTGACTCCTGGGTTGTGCATCTGTGACCCCAAGAACTGCAGCACCCACATCTGGATCTAGGCTTTTAGCTTGTCCCCTCCCTGGCATCTCAGCACCAATGATCCCTGGGGGAGGCAGTTAACTTTATACACCTCCGGTGTGGGGGAGACTTGCCTGTGATGGTGGGGGCAGAGGGGAGCTCTGGGCTCAAAGCCACCCCCTGCTGCTGCTCTGTGCTTGGCCTTGCTGCTGCAGCCATTCCAATCCCGTGGGCGTCTCTTGCACTGTTAAGAGCTGCGGGACTTGTCCCTGTTGGGAGCAGCAGGAGGCAGCGAAGATAAAAGGGGCTCTCGGTACCAAATATCCCTCCAGATGCTGCAGATTGCTCCAACCCTCATCCCGCTTCCTCCCTCCCATTGTTCTGGGATCTGGCAGCAAGGACAGGGAGCCCGGCTGGCGAAGGAAGGATCACCTGGCTGGATGCCAGAGAGCGGGACACTTGGCTGGTCCCAGGCTGCTGCTGTCGAGACTGTGGCAGGTTGTTTTAACCCCTTTGTGGGCAAAGCCCAACTGGGGTTTGCAACTTTCACGGCTGCCTTCTGCAGCTCTGTGTGTGTGCACGGAGCACCCCCTTGTGGGCTGTTGGTGTCATTGATCTGTGATGCCTGCATGGTTGAGAGAAGGCTACACACAGGCCTCTGCCCTTTGAGCTAAGGGGGAATCTCCTTCACCCCCCTTTGCTGGCAGCAGTAGTAGATCCCTTATCCTCCCATTAGGGCAACTTGATCCATGCATCTTAACGTCCTTTGGAGGGTTGTACGAGTGTCTCCTTATGGGGTGCAGGTTCTGTGTCGAGGGGCGTGGACCAGGCACCCCAAGTGGCATGTTCAGTGGGGGGATAGAGGCACAAGTGCATCCCCTTGGTGCTGGGGGCTGCATTAGCCCTCCCTGACGGGGCTGTTTGGTGTGTCCAGGGGCACGGGGGTGGGGATGTTGCGGGAGCACCCCCACATGGACCTCTCCCTAGCCAATCCCACCTGAGCCGCCCTTTATAGCCAATGAGGCACCACCATCCGGCTGATATGCTTAAAATCCCCATCCCCTTTGTGACTGTGTGCCTCTTTGCTGAGTGGGGCGGGGCCTGAAAGGGGAGCTCTGTCCACCAGGCTGGGTGCCCCCCCTTCTGACTCCTCACGCTGCTCCCTCTCTCTTTCCCTTACAGTGGAGGAATTCTTAGCCAAAGCCAAAGAAGACTTCCTTAAGAAATGGGAGAGCCCCTCTCAGGTACTGTGCCCCCAACCCAGATCACACCCCCCGCAATCAAGGCCTTTGCAGACCCAGGCTGATTACTCCGCAGTCACCCCCTAGATCTCTTTCCCCATCACTGAGCCACCTTGCCACACAGCCTCCTCTGATGGTCTGGGGGTTGTTTTTGCTCCTGGGGGGCGGGGCTGAGTGGACCATGTTGCTCTCCCGCCCGTCCCTCCAGTCTGCCCTCTGGTAACTGGAGGGCCAAGAACTCTGTAGGTTCAACTCCACTCTGCTGAGGGAGGGGGACACTAACAATGTGGGACTCCTCCTGATCCAGCCTGTCTCCCCCATCCTCCTTCTGAGTGTCCAGCATGGTCGTCCAGCCCAGCCCAGCCCAGCCCAGCCCCAGATTGGCTCCCAGGGGAGTTGTGCTAACAGGGACCCTGTTCAAAGGGCCTCCATTTGCTGCCTACGCTTGAGCGCAGTGCCCCAGTGCCCTGGGTCTGTCCCCGCTGGAAATCCCGCCTGGGGTGGTTGTGGGTAATTCCTGAGGCAGAGCTGCTGGTCCCTCTGCAGCACTGTCACTTTGCTAGTCCTCCCGCACACCCTGTGTCATTAATGCCATGGCACAGATGGGGAAACTGAGGACCAGAGGGGAAAGGGACTTGGTCATGGGTATAGGAAGTTGGTGGCAGAACTAGGAAGAGATCTTTTGACTCCTAGTCTCCTGCCCTCTGACCACTATACTTCACTCCCTCTCCTCACAGACCGAGGGCTAGAACCCAGGAGTCCTGACTCCCAGCCCCGCCCCCGCCAGCCCCACTGAATGGAGCTGGGCGGGTCGCCTGTCTGGAACTGGAGTTTGGTTCTGCCCAAGGAGCAGGGAATCCCTTGTCAGTGTCTCCTTAAAACTGTGGTGGTTTCCTTTGGCGCCCTCTGGTGGTGAAATGTGACATGTACTTCATATGGATGTTCTCAAGAACAACCCCAGTGCGGGGCTAGCGGGTGCTGTGCTGCAGGGAGTGGCGGGCTCAGTAGGGGGCGCTCTCCCATCACAGTCAGTGATGACCCTGGGGGGGCTGCCGTTCTGGTGAGCTATAAAAACCAAAGCTCTGACCAGGGGCGGCTCTACCAATTTTGCTGCCCCAAGCAGTCGCTGCTGAATTGCCGCCACCGGAATAGTGGCAGAGCTGCCACCAACTTGCCGCTGTGGGACACAGACTGCCACCCCATTCTGAATGCCGCCCCAAGCACCTGCTTGGAAAGCTGGTGCCTGGAGCCGGTCCTGGCTCTGACCCCCCTCATGGTCATTAAAGATCCCTCCAGTCTTGCAGTGCAAATCCCACTGTCCTGGGCAGGTTCCTTCCTGATGCCCCCAGGACCAGTCTGGCCCCACATCACATTTATTTTCCCCCTTCCAGAACACGGCCAGTTTGGATCAGTTTGATCGAATCAAGACCCTGGGCACAGGCTCATTTGGAAGGGTGATGCTGGTGAAACTCAAAGAGACCGGGAATCACTATGCCATGAAGATTGTGGATAAACAGCAGGTAAGATGCTGGGGGCTTCCGTAGAGATCTGGCCTGGGGCCGTGGAATCCCCAGTGCAGGGGAGGGATTTGGGGCTGAACCCTGCGTGGGGATGCTGGAGAAGGGAGTGCATGGGAGGCGTAGGGGGTGCTGCGCCAGCAGAGGAAGATCAAGTGTTGCTACTTCCTTTTCTCTCCCAGGTAGTGAAGCTGAAACAAATTGAGCACCCCCTCAACGAGAAACGGATCCTCCAGGCCGTCAACTTTCCATTCCTCACCAAGCTAGAGTATTCTTTCAAGGTAGAGAGAAAAGGAGTACTTGTGGCACCTTAGAGACTAACCAATTTATTTGAGCATGAGCTTTCGTGAGCTACAGCTCACTTCATCGGATGCATACCATGGAAACTGCAGTAGACATTATATACACACAGAGACCTTGAAACAATACCCCCTCCCACCCCACTGTCCTGCTGGTAATAGCTTATCTAAAGTGATCATCAGGTTGGGCCATTTCCAGCACAAATCCAGGTTTTCTCACCCTCCACCCCCCCCACACACAAACACTCTCCTGCTGGTAATAGCCCATCCAAAGTGACCACTCTCTTCACAATCTGTATGATAATCAAGGTGGGTCATTTCCAGCACAAATCCAGGTTCTCTCACTCCCTCACTACCCAAGATCCATAAACCTGGAAATCCTGGGCGCCCCATCATCTCAGGCATTGGCACCCTGACAGCAGGATTGTCTGGCTATGTAGACTCCCTCCTCAGGCCCTATGCTACCAGCACTCCCAGCTACCTTCGAGACACCACTGACTTCCTGAGGAAACTTCAATCCATCGGCAATCTTCCTGATAACACCATCCTGGCCACTATGGATGTAGAAGCCCTCTACACCAACATTCCACACAAAGATGGACTAGAAGCCGTCAAGAACACTATCCCCGATAATGTCACGGCTAACCTGGTGGCTGAACTTTGTGACTTTGTCCTTACCCATAACTATTTTACATTTGGGGACAATGTATACCTTCAGATCAGCGGGACTGCTATGGGTACCCGCATGGCCCCACAGTATGCCAACATTTTTATGGCTGATTTAGAACAACGCTTCCTCAGCTCTCATCCCCTAATGCCCCTACTCTACTTGCGCTACATTGATGACATCTTCATCATCTGGACCCATGGAAAAGAAGCCCTTGAGGAATTCCACCATGATTTCAACAATTTCCATCCCACCATCAACCTCAGCCTGGTCCAGTCCACACAAGAGATCCACTTCCTGGACACTACAGTGCTAATAAACAATGGTCACATAAACACCACCCTATACCGGAAACCTACTGACCGCTATTCCTACCTACATGCCTCCAGCTTTCACCCTGACCACACCACACGATCCATCATCTACAGCCAAGCTCTGTGATACAACCGCATTTGCTCCAACCCCTCAGACAGAGACAGACACCTACAAGATCTCTATCAAGCTTTCTTACAACTACAATACCCACCTGCGGAAGTGAAGAAACAGATTGATAGAGCCAGAAGAGTTCCCAGAAGTCACCTACTACAGGAAAGGCCTAACAAAGAAAATAACAGAACGCCACTAGCCGTCACCTTCAGCCCCCAACTAAAACCCCTCCAACGCATTATTAAGGATCTACAACCTATCCTGAAGGATGACCCAACACTCTCACAAATCTTGGGAGACAGGCCAGTCCTTGCCTACAGACAGCCCCGCAACCTGAAGCAAATACTCACCAACAACCACATACCACACAACAGAACCACTAGCCCAGGAACCTATCCTTGCAACGAAGCCCGTTGCCAACTGTGCCCACATATCTATTCAGGGGACACCATCACAGGGCCTAATAACATCAGCCACACTATCAGAGGCTCGTTCACCTGCACATCCACCAATGTGATATATGCCATCATGTGCCAGCAATGCCCCTCTGCCATTTACATTGGTCAAACTGTACAGTCTCTACGTAAAAGAATAAATGGACACAAATCAGATGTCAAGAATTATAACATTCATAAACCAGTTGGAGAACACTTCAATCTCTCTGGTCACGCAATCACCGACATGAAGGTCACTATCTTACAACAAAAAAACTTCAAATCCAGACTCCAGCGAGAAACTGCTGAATTGGAATTCATTTGCAAATTGGATACTATTAATTTAGGCTTAAATAGAGACTGGTAGTGGCTAAGTCTCTAAGTAAATATGGCAGGCGACCAGCTTGGCTTAATGGTGAAATCCTAGCGGATCTTAAGCATAAAAAAGAAGCTTACAAGAAGTGGAAGGTTGGACATATGACCAGGGAAGAGTATAAAAATATTGCTCGGGCATGTAGGAATGATATCAGGAGGGCCAAATCGCACCTGGAGCTGCAGCTAGCCAGAGATGTTAAGAGTAACAAGAAGGGTTTCTTCAGGTATGTTAGCAACAAGAAGAAAGCCAAGGAAAGTGTGGGCCCCTTACTGAATGAGGGAGGCAACCTAGTGACAGAGAATGTGGAAAAAGCTAATGTACTCAATGCTTTTTTTGCCTCTGTTTTCACTAACAAGGTCAGCTCCCAGACTGCTGCGCTGGGCATCACAAAATGGGGAAGAGATGGCCAGCCCTCTGTGGAGATAGAGGTGGTTAGGGACTATTTAGAAAAGCTGGACGTGCACAAGTCCATGGGGCCGGACGAGTTGCATCCGAGAGTGCTGAAGGAATTGGCGGCTGTGATTGCAGAGCCATTGGCCATTATCTTTGAAAACTCGTGGCGAACGGGGGAAGTCCCGGATGACTGGAAAAAGGCTAATGTAGTGCCAATCTTTAAAAAAGGGAAGAAGGAGGATCCTGGGAACTACAGGCCAGTCAGCCTCACCTCAGTCCCTAGAAAAATCATGGAGCAGGTCCTCAAAGAATCAATCCTGAAGCACTTGCATGAGAGGAAAGTGATCAGGAACAGCCAGCATGGATTCACCAAGGGAAGGTCATGCCTGACTAATCTAATTGCCTTTTATGATGAGATTACTGGTTCTGTGGATGAACGGAAAGCAGTGGATGTATTGTTTCTTGACTTTAGCAAAGCTTTTGACACGGTCTCCCACAGTATTCTTGTCAGCAAGTTAAGGAAGTATGGGCTGGATGAATGCACTATAAGCTGGGTAGAAAGCTGTCTAGATTGTCGGGCTCAACGGGTAGTGATCAATGGCTCCATGTCTAGTTGGCAGCCGGTATCAAGTGGAGTGCCCCAAGGGTCGGTCCTGGGGCCGGTTTTGTTCAATATCTTCATAAATGATCTGGAGGATGGTGTGGATTGCACTCTCAGCAAATTTGCGGATGATACTAAACTGGGAGGAGTGGTAGATACGCTGGAGGGGAGGGATAGGATACAGAAGGACCTAGACAAATTGGAGGATTGGGCCAAAAGAAATCTGATGAGGTTCAATAAGGATAAGTGCAGGGTCCTACACTTAGGACGGAAGAACCCAATGCACCGCTACAGACTAGGGACCGAATGGCTAGGCAGCAGTTCTGCGGAAAAGGACCTAGGGGTGACAGTGGACGAGAAGCTGGATATGAGTCAGCAGTGTGCCCTTGTTCCCAAGAAGGCCAATCGCATTTTGGGATGTATAAGTAGGGGCATAGCGAGCAGATCGAGGGACGTGATCATTCCCCTCTATTCGACATTGGTGAGGCCTGATCTGGAGTACTGTGTCCAGTTTTGGGCCCCACACTACAAGAAGGATGTGGATAAATTGGAGAGAGTCCAGCGAAGGGCAACAAAAATGATTAGGGGTCTGGAACACATGACTTATGAGGAGAGGCTGAGGGAGCTGGGATTGTTTAGCCTGCAGAAGAGAAGAATGAGGGGGGATTTGATAGCTGCTTTCAACATTAGTGAGAAAACCTGGATTTGTGCTGGAAATGGCCCACCTTGATTATCATGCACATTGTAGGGAGAGTGGTCACTTTTGATAAGCTATTACCAGCAGGAGAGTGAGTTTGTGTGTGTGGTTTTTGGAGGGGGGTGAGGGAGTGAGAGAACCTGGATTTGTGCTGGAAATGACCCACCTTGATTATCATACACATTGTGAAGAGAGTGGTCACTTTGGGGGGGTCGAAGGGCACAGTCTGCATCTCTTGTATCCTGAGAACAAACCTTCCTGGCGTGACGTCTGGGATCAGGTTTGGAGCTAAGAAAAATCAGTTTGGATCATTCCCCTTTTTCACTCCCTTCTGTTCTGCTTTTGACTCCAGGTTTTGAAAAGTGATACTTCCCCCCCGCAACCTAGTCAGTTTTGCTTTCGTTCCTAGCCAGTTTCAGTTTCTGGCTCCCATGCGCTGGCCCTAGGGCATGAGGTCTGGCTTGCAGGGGAGTCTTAGAGGAAGTCCTAACTCCATGCACAGTTGACTTTGTGGAGACTTTGAAACTATCACATGGGATCATTTCCTCCTGATGGAGTTTCTGTGAAAGATAAAATTCAGGCCCCTGGTGATGCGGCTTGGACCCTCTTCCCTGAACCTGGATTTTGGGGCCTGTGAGCTACACCCTGTGTGTAAAGGGGAGAGCAAAGGTAGTTGTCCCTTAGAGCTCCACAGCACCCCCTGTGGCTGGCCTGATTAAAGAGGGGCTGGCTCTGAAGAGAGACCTGTCTCCTCGTCTGTAAGCCTGTGGTTAGTGGATTGTAGCGAGGAAGAGTTGTCAGCTCAGAGGAGGCTGCAGGATAAACTGAAGCCCCCTGCGGGAGCCTGGAGGCTAGGGTGATGGGTGTGTTAGCAGTAGGCAGTGCTGGAAGGGTCGTTTTCTTGGGGGCCCCTCATCGTTCCAGGGTTAAATAGCTTTGATCTCTGGCCCCTTGTCCGCAGAAGCTGCTACAATAGAAATGTCCCACCTGCTCCGTGCCAGCTGCTTGGGGCTGGGCTGTGTAGCTCTCGGGTGACACAGTGGCACTGGGGCCAGCGGCTGCTGTCACACAGGCTGGCTCGCTGAGCCAATCGCTTCTCCTACGACAGCGTAAAATAAATACCCCGCAGGTGTAAATGTGGGAGAACTTCATTGAAATCAATGCGACTGCTCTGGATTTATTCCACTGAGCTAGGAGTCTGGCCTGGTACGTGCTGACTGGGCGTTGGGGCCTGTCTCATTGGTAGAGGGTCAGGAAGGCCCATGTCACAGCCCAGAATGGCCTGAGCAGGGAGATCAAGGATGGGCTGCCTTCATCCCCTTCGAGGACAGCAGGGTTCAGGCATTGTTCCCCGTATGCTCTAGGGCACCCACCTTTACCCTGGTCCTGGCTCAGGGCATCACCTCACACTCTGTGGGTTTGCAGGGTCTTTTCCCAGTGAAAGAGCCTCACACAGTAATATCCTTAACCTCTATTTATTAACAGTTACCAGAACAGAATACACCCGCTCCGCATACAATGCCCATCACTGCCAATAAGGCAGACCAACTTTCCCTGGTGGCCAGTCGGGATCAGGTCGTGCTGGGTCTCCAGCTTCTGCCCGGTGTCATTGGCAGGGTGTTGAGGTCTGATATTGGGCTGTGTCCTGGAGCTGGTTCCAAGAACTTCCTTTTGGACCCCAGTTTATAGAGTGAAACTTGAGTCCTGCTTAGCTCTACCTTAACCCATCATTTTATGCAAGTAGTACAAAATAATTCTCTGACCAATCCGAACATAGTGTGAAACAATTCTTTACCCAGTCGGATCCCACCACCTTAGTTGATGTACACCTAGCAAAATTAGTTAGAAACAATCAAAGAACCAGACAGAAAGCAGACAGATAAACAATAGAGAAGTGGGGACCAGCAAGGGAAAACAATAAAGAAGTAGAGATTTCACACCCGCACTGCTGATAAGTGATTCCTTTGAACATCCTAAGATCTGTTTCTTTGCCTGGTGATGGTGGGTCCTAGTAGGACAGAATTGCCTTCTGAACAGCCCAATATTACCTTGTTTTGATATAATTTAGCTGGAATGTGAGGATGTGACTTTCTGCTTCTTGGCTGCTGGCTCCTGCTCTCCCAATGCGGCTGCAGAAAAAGGTCTCTGACCATCCAGCATGGGGCGCTGTGCCCATGCCCTGGCTGGACCCTCTCTCCAGGGCTAGCTGGAAATTGACCCTGGGCTCGAGGGCAGGGGCAGTGGTCTCTGCTGGCTTGTGCGCGGGTGCTTAGTGCTCATGTTCTCATCACTGAGCCGGATCGGCTTTCACTAGCAGAATGTTTCAGAGGGGCAGCCGTGTTAGTCTGTATCAGCAAAAACAACGAGGAGTCCTTGTGACACCTTAGAGACTAACAAATTTATTTGGGCATAAGCTTTCGTGGGCTAAAACCCACTTCATCAAATACAAGGAGTGGAAAATACAGTAGAGAGGGAAAATTCACAGCCCCCCAACGTGAAGCAAATACTCACCAGCAACTACACACCACACAACAAAAACACTAACCCAGGAACCAATCTCTGCAACAAATCCCGTTGCCAACTCTGTCCGCATATCTATTCAAGGGACACCATCATAGGACCTAACCACATCAGCCACACCATCAGGGGCTCGTTCACCTGCACATCTACCAATATGATATATGCCATCATGTGCCAGCAATGCCCCTCTGCCATGTCCATTGGCCAAACCAGACAGTCTCTACGCAGAAGAATAAATGGACACGTTAGAGAGCTTATTCCTTCACTCTCCCTGTTCCCTGGTCCTTCTCGCATGAATAGAGAGCAACAATACCCGAAGTCCAAAGGTGCAAACAATTCGATGTTTATTGGGGTGAACTTCCAGCAAGCTTAAATCCAAGTTCCTTTTTCCTTATTTTCGAATCCCAACTTACTTCCTGTTTGCCCCTAATTTATATAGTAATATTCCTCGCTATACCTTAACCAGTCATTCTACTGAAATTTACCTAACCAATCCTAATATATTGTAACATGATTAGCTAACCAATTATATCCCACCACCGTCATTAGTTTACACCCAGCAAAATTAATTATACAGCAGACAGAAACAATCACAGAACCAGACCAGAGACCTCTATTACTAGCTAAATGATAAACATATACCTAAATTCTTAAAGTATAGGCCTTTACAGGCAGGCCTGAATATCTATATCCTAACAACACAAATCTGACATCAAGAATGATAACATTCAAAAACCAGTAGGTGAACACTTCAGTCTCCCTGAACACTCAATAACAGACTTAAAAGTGGCAATTCTTCAACAAAAAACCCTTCAAAAACAGACTCCAACGAGAAACTGCAGAACTGGAATTAATTTGCAAACTGGACACCATCAAATTAGGCCTGAATAAAGGCTGGGAGTGGATGGGTCACTACAAAAACTAATTTTTCCACTGCTGATACTCACACCTTCTTGTCAATTGTTTGAAATGGGCCACCTTGATTACATTGAACTCATTAGCACTACAAAAGTGATTTTTTCATCCCTTCTTTTGTCAACTGTTGAGAATAGCCCACTAGAGGAATGGCTTTGTTGGGCTCAGCGGAGTTACTTTGCAGTGGTGAGGGAGGGTGAAGCCAACCTGGTCAATTTCACACACCGCTTTTGAGAAAAAAGAACAGGAGTACTTGTGGCACCTTAATTTGTTAGTCTCTAAGGTGCCACAAGTATTCCTGTTCTTTTTATGGATACAGACTGACACGGCTGCTACTCTGAGACCTGCTTTTGAGAAGTTTCACTTCCTGCTTCTGCTCCTTTGGCTGTCAGACCTGGCGGCAGGTTGGGTTTCCCCTTTGATCGGAGACATCAGAGCTGGGAAATCCCTCTTGGGCCTGCCTGTCCCTGCCTCTAGACCAAAGGTGGGGGAGGGGTTGAATTTTCTAGGGCTCTAGTACGAAATACTCCAAGCAAATAAAGCTTGTGCTCTCTCATTAGTGAGTCTGTTCCCCAGCCGCGTCTGTGCAGCAACTCCCGCTGCAGGTGTGTGCCTGGGACCTTCAGCACCAAGCACAGCCCCTCTGGCCCTTGAGCCAAAGGAGTAACAGCAGCAGCTGGTGGCAGTAGTAGGCTGTTATCTCCCAGACAGCGGGTGTACTGCATTGTGTGCTAGGGGGAAGCCAGGCCAGTTCATCAGGCTCCCTTGAGGAGTGTGGGGTTAGTGCCCTGAAAAGGACGGGGCTAATAAAGGAGCAGGGGTGTGGTGAGCAGCTTCATCCCAGTGTCACAGGCACTGACGGGGGGCCGGAGTGACTCCATCCCTTGCACTCAGTTTTTGCTGCATTTCCTTCTAGGATAACTCCAATCTGTACATGGTGAAGGAATACATCGCGGGCGGGGAGATGTTCTCCCACCTACGGCAGATTGGGAGGTTCAGGTGAGCGTTGCCACGGGAGCCGATGTTGGGGATAGCGTTGCTAATGGATAGAGCTGGGTCCTAATCCTGCCTCTGCCATTCACTCCTTGTGGGGAGGGGGGAGAATCACTCTGTGCCTCCGTTTCCGCAGCTGTAAATTTGGGATTTAGTTCGGTAGAGAACTAGACCTTTTATCCACTAGCAGCATCTGCAGCGACGCTGGCTTTGATCCTCATGCTGCAGGGTGTGACCTGATCCCAGGCTGGGCTGGTCAGGAAGGATTCCCCATGGGGAGAGCTGCTGAGATCTTCTGCCAGCATGAGCCACAGTCAGTGGCAGGGATGCCAGGGCCAGATGGGGCCAGGCTGGATGGAGCTGGAGGTCCATGGGGGTGTGTGCTGGGGGGGTTTGCCAGGCTGGGTGGACTCAGGGGTCTAGCAGTGGTGGATGGGATGTGTGGGCTAGGGCAGATGGGGCCACCAGGCCCAGAAGGGTTGGGGCATCTTGCCTGGGGTTGCCTGGGTAGATGGAGTCAGGGATCTATAAGGAAGGTGAAGCAGCCGCGTAGCCAGGTGGAGGGAACAGGGGGAGTGATCACCCAGCGGCGCTCTGCAAACCTGCCTCACTCGTGCCGGGTGTCTGCAGCCGCCCTGACGCTCCCACCGCCGAGGTGCCGCCGAAGGCCCGCAGCAGGTGGAGGTTTCTTTTTTTATCGCCAAGATATTCAAAAGGCGCCACTTGTGCTCAGTGAGGGGGGGGCCGCTCCCCGTTCCCCCCCTAGCTACTGAGGTGAAGGTGGGGGCAGCAGGGGGCAGAGGGTGCTGGGCTGGCTGAGAGGGGGTGGATCTGGCCCGGGATGCCCACGTTCTCCTCCCACCTCATTGCAGTGAACCTCACGCCCAGTTCTACGCTGCGCAGATCGTCCTGACCTTTGAGTATCTGCACTCGCTGGATCTCATCTACCGAAACCTGAAGCCAGAGAATCTCCTGATAGACCAGCAAGGCTACATCTTGGTGATGCCCCTCCGCCACTCCTTCCCATCCCCATCCCAGCGCTGGCTCCTGGCTCCCTGCCGTGATCTCCTGCCTGACTAAGTCTCTCTCTGCTGCCATCCCCTTCCCAAAGCCAAGACACCCCCAGAAATGTAACACGGCCAGAATACATCAATCGTCTGCTCCCCCCCATTCCCCTCCTGCTGTCACAGCCTCCAGGCTGATCCAGCTTCTCCCCTCTCTGTGTTTTGGCTCCAGGTGGCGGATTTTGGTTTTGCCAAGCGGGTGAAAGACGTAACCTGGACTCTGTGTGGGACCTCAGAATACCTGGCCCCCGAGATCATCCTCAGCAAGGTGAGCTGGGGAGGGCCTGTCCGCTGCCTGATCTCTTGCTGGTCCCTGGCCACCAGGTGGTTCCTCCCGCCCCCCAAATGTTTGGTGCATGACCCCAGCCTGCTTTCCCTGGGCAGGCTTATAACAAGGCTGTGGACTGGTGGACTCTGGGCATCTTCATCTACGAGATGGTGGCTGGTTACCCCCCATTCTTCGCGGACCAAATCATGAAGCTCTACGAGAAGATTGTCTCTGGCAAGGTATTTGGGCTGTGGGAGGGGACACTTGTGTGATTTTGTGGGGGGGCAGGATTTCGCCAGCAAAAGGGACGTGCCAAGTCTCAGCGACTGATCAGGGAGATGCTTACACGCACCACACACGTGTTCATGCCCTCCCATGCTCCCCCAATCCCCAACACGTGGGCATCCTCCCTGTCATGTACCCCATTCCCCCTGCACCCCAACACATAGACCCTTCCTTGCCACATACTCCTGTTCTCCAACATATGGACATCCTCCCCATTATGTCCCCCACTCCTACGCCCCACACATGGGCCCTCCCTTGCTGTGTACCCTACTTCTCCAATACATGGATTCCATTCCCCACCCCACCACAACTGGGCTCCCTGTAACTCTCATGGGGACTCCTGGAACAGGTGCTTTTGGTTTTCTTATACACTGTTGTGAATTGCAAAACTCTCCACAACTCTGCTACATTGCAAGACTAAATGTTCCTTAAAGACATCAGTCACCTCCAGGCACTGGTAGAGCACTCATCACCATAGTAACCAAGAGCCCATAATATTCCTCTGCCCAGCCCAGCGCCTTCTCGCCAAGGATCTCAAAGCACTCGTGTTGGACACGGTCAGCTTTAAACGTAGTGGGGTTTTAAAAAAGCAAAGTTGTGTTGCCTAGTGGGAACTCAACAGACCTGGGTTCTGTTTGCGGTTCTCCTACCAGCCTGCTGAGTGACCTTGAGCAAGTCACTTCTCCCTGTGCCTCAGTTTCCCCTTATGTAAAATGAGGATAGTGATGCGGCAGCCCTGTGGAGGAAAAATGCTCAATAAGAGCTGGGGGGCTGCTGCTAATTAACCATTTCAGCTCCTGTGTCAGTCCTCAGTAGCCTGAGGACTAACTTCTTGTCCACTCATTGTCCTGGAGTGTTTTTAAAGGGCTTGTTCTTTATTATTAGGTATATTACAATAGTGCCTACAAGTCCCAGTCATGGGTCAGGACCCCATTGTGCTATAGGGCCGTACATTACTACGTGTATTATGGTAGTGCCTAGGTGCCCCAGGTGTAGCCCAGGACCCCCCCTGCGTTAGGGGCTGTACATTACTAGGTGTATCTATGAATCTAGCCACGAGGGCAGGGCAGACCTCTGTCTCTCCTCCCCACCCCAGTTCCAGTTCCCGGCTTACTTCAGCTTTGACCTGAGGGACCTGCTCCGGAACCTGCTGCAGGTGGACCTCACCAAACGCTTTGGCAACCTCAAGAATGGGGTCAACGACATCAAGAACCACAAGTGGTTTGCTACCACCGACTGGATCGCCGTCTACCAGAGGAAGGTAGGAGGGCGGCGGCAGGCAGAGGAGAGCCTGGGTAACTCCCACCTGGTGCAGCCTCCGTCAGCAGGAATTGAACCTGGGATCATCAGTGCCCAGGCCTCTAGGAGCGCATTGGTTCCTGGGACTCTGTAGCAGGGTGTTGTGGCTGGGTGCAACCACTAGGGGGAGATATGCTCACCCAGCATTGGTTTAAAGTCGGGAGCCCTCAGTCACCTGTTTGTAACATGGTGGCAAAAGCAAGGTCCTGTCCCCACCCCCTGAGGATAACAGCCTCCTTCTGCTGCTACCAGCTAATGGCGTTATTCCTCCATGTCTGGTGGGAGAGGGCTGGGCTGAAGGTCCTGATTAAAACCCTCCTGATGATGCAAGTGGGGGCTCTTACGGGGATCCAAGGGGCTCGTGACCCCCTGCCCTTCCCTGATTGCAAAGTGAGAGGAGGAGGTTCTGGCTAGATAAAAGGGCTTGAGGAGGTACTGATCTGCATCCCTCACCTGGTTGCTAAGGGGCCCGATCCTGTATCCCTTAAGGGTGCTGGGAGCCCTCATCTTGGGCTGTTAAGGAGGGTGCTGGGGGTCCTGATCCTGGGCTCCTAAGGGGGGTCATGGGTTCCCCCTTCTGTGATTGCAAAATGTGCGGGTTTCTGGCTGTATAGTAGGTGGGGAGGCGGGGCTGATCCTTGCCTGCCTTGTTGCAAAGTTGGGGCCTGACCGTGCACCCCTAGCAGACCCAGGAGTGGCAGGAGATGGGTAATACAAATGTTGATCCCTCACTTCGTCCCCAACCTCCCCCCACTCCCTTCGCAGGTGGAAGCTCCCTTTATACCAAAGTGCAATGGCCCCGGAGACACAAGTAACTTCAACGACTGTGAGGAAGAGGAGATCCGGGTCTCCAGCACTGAGACGTGCACCAAGGAGTTTGCTGAGTTCTAGGGCGAGCGGCCCCCCCGAGAGGGTGTGCACGGAGCAGGTGGGGGCGGGGCTGGATTTGATCAAGAGAAGGACCCGAGTTCCTTGCCTGTGTGTTTTATTTTTGTGGGCGGGGGGTAGGGATTTGCCTGGATCTGGTTTGGTGGGGAGCGGGAGACCCCTTATTCTAAACCTGTACCCTCCCCCCAAAATCTCCCTTTCCCACAAAGAAGCTTGAGAGTCCCGTCTAGAGGGTGGGGGTATCATCCGCCCCGCCCTGGGAAATACATCTGTGTCCTCCGACAAAACTTGTTTCGGAAAAAACAAAACAACCCCCCCAACCCCCACTTCCTCTTTTAACAGTGTGCTTTGTTGTCAACATATTTGAAACAATTACCAATAAAGTTTTGTTTAAAAAAAAAATCAGTCTGGCGTGTGGGCTGTTGAGCTCCAGGGGACAGTTGTCGTGGCTGGGATGAGCCGGGAGCTGTTCCTCTCCCCGGAGGCCCAAGGAGTTCAGGGATGGAGCCAGGGGGCCGGCGGCTGTTATAAGCGGGACCTGAACTCGCCTGGAGTTGGAAGCCCCAAGGGGCGAGTGTCCGCGCGTCAATGGTTGGCGGCGTCTGGCCGATGGATAAACGGGCATTGCAAGCAGCAGCGGAGCGGTTATTTTATCTCGGTGTCTGGTGGGGGGCGACAGCTGCTGGAATACCATGGCCAGGTCTGACACCCACAATTCGAGAAGGAAGGGGAAAAATTGGCAGAGAGTTGCCATGAGAACGATTAAATGGGGGGGAACCTGCCTTATGCTGACAGGCAAGGAGCTTCTTAAAGCGAAGGTTAAGGGGTGCCGTGATCCCTGTCTCGAAGTACCCACATGGGGAATAAAACTGTGATAATGGGCGAGTCCTGCTAGCAGACGAAGGTTGAAGGAGAGCCAGTGGCTGGAAGCTGAAACTAGAAACATTCAGACAGGAAAAAAGGGCAGATTTTTAACTGGGGTGGGGAGAGGGGGTGTAATTAGCCGTTGGAACAATTCACCAAGCATCGTGGTGGATTCTTCATCACTGACGCTGTTTAAATCGAGATGGGAGGTTTTTCAAAAGGATCGGCTCCAATTCCAACAGGAGTTGATTCAGGGAAGTCCTGTGGCCTGTGTTACACAGGTCAGACGAGGTGCTCACAGTGGTCCTGTCTGAATCGATAATCTAGCCTTATGAGGCGGGGGCAGGAGAGGAGAACAGCCAGGCCGACCCTGGTGTGCAGCAATGCAGGGGATTGCCAGAAGCAGAATACTCTCCTCAAAGTGTGGATATGTGCACACCTTCCTTACTGCAGGGGAACTGCTGCCATGTGTGTGAATCTGCTTCCAAAGGGGATCAGGTAATAAGATGCCAGCTAATTCCCAGTGTGGTGGGGGGGAGAGAGGAAACCCCTATGAATGAAAGGCAGTTTATGAGGAATAAAATGAAAGTGATGAGCCCTTCCGTACAGCCCCTCGCACAAGGGGGTTCCAAGCGCGATCGGGCTGGAAACCGATTGTGTTTTGTGAGAGAATTTGAGGGTTTCAAATTTGTTCCCATTCTACATTGGAGTGAGTCAGAGCAGGACCTTGCTTTTCCCCAGCAGAGGTGAGTGCCCAAACCACTGGGTTACTGCGGGGTCTTGTTTTGACCTGAGAAACCTTTCAACCTGTCCTTGAAAAGTTTCGTTGTCTATAAATCAGCATTTTCTGGCAATAAAACTGCCCCGCTCTGCCTCTGGGCACCACTGCCTGTACAAAGGAACCCGGCTGAAATTTTTTAATGTAACCTTCATATTCTTACTCGTAGCAACCTTTGTGCTTCGGGCACAAGGCTGACAGGATTTGTGCGTGGGGCTTTTGTTTTTTTCTTAAGGCACCAGTCACCAAATCATGTGAGCCTCCCCAGTTTGATTAAAAAGCAATCAGGGCTTGTCTGCATGGGGAAATTTGACTGGAGTCACTATGTTCCACTGTAGCTCTTTCTGTTAATTTCCTCAGGTGGAAAAACCCTCCCTGTCTCGCCCTCTTCACTGCAGAGAAAAGCTTGAACCAGGTGACCTTTTAAAAGTCCCCATAGCAGGAAGTGAATAAAAACACCCTGCCAAGTATTTATAAAATCTCACGATTTTGAAGCCAATCTCAAGATTTGGTTTGAGGCCCATCGTTATTTTTCACCGTTCAGGGTTGGCATCGCTGCAGTGGCGGAAGCCAGGCAAATAGCCTTCCGAGTTTGCCCAGTTTACGCTTTGCAGCATTTTCTCGGGTCTCTGTTGCTGTCTGGCTATGGGCAGATCCCCTGTTTGTTTGGTGTGGGTCTTACATGAGTGGGGGGCCTAAAAAGTGTGTAAAAATTGGCAGAGGATTTTGGGGTGGGGGCGGGCATTGGGCCTAAGCTACTTTTAGTTCCTTTTTTAAAAATCACCAAGATTGCACGTTGACTGTCTTTAATGTGTGTGTCAGGTATTATCTGCCTCTTACAGAGTGGAGCACACACAGAAGTCCTGGCTTCCAGGCCCTCCCCTAACCACTAGACACCACTCCGCTCCCACCGCTGGAAATAGAACCCAGGAGTCTGGATTCTCCAAGTCCTTTTCTCCACCCTGCCTACATCGGCTACACCTCTGCAGACTGTCCCCGTCCACCATTTTGGATGCCTTCCATGATTAGCACAGCAGGGCGGCTTCAAGCATGGCCCCTCCTTAATCCACCCCCCCCATGTCAGAGGGCATAGGACTGATCATGTGACTGGCTACTATTTCCAGCAATACCAAGGGACCATGTTCTAGCGGTTAAAGTGGGGTGCATGAGCATGGGGGTGGGGTTGTGTGCTGGGACTCCTGGGTTCTAGTCCCAGCTCTGTGATGGGATCTACTGAGTAAGGCCAGGGCAGCTGGAGCTGGGAGTCAGGACTCCTGGGTTCTAGAGGGGAGTGGGCTCTGGGCGTTAGGGTCAGGTGGGGCTTGGAAGTCAGGACTCCTGGGTCCTGTGCCACCAGCTGTGTGACCTGAGCCCTTCTCTCTGCCTCATTTTCCCATCTATAAAGTGATGATAACCAAGGCTGCTGTTCTCGCCCCAGCCCCCCCATTGACCCCCACTTCCTTCATTGTGCCTGGCTGGAGCCTCATAGCCCAAGATGTCCTGCACGGAGCTGTGCCTGGTACCATCCCTCAGGCCAGGGGCCGTTGGTTGAGGCTGGTAGCCAGATAAGAAACTAGATCCTCAGCTGGCATCAGTCTTTCGTCTCTGTGGACTCTAAGGGAGTGGTGCCGATTGACACCAGGTGATGCCAGTGGCATGATGTGAATTGGGAATCTGGGCCCAGGCTATCTGAGAAACAGGTCTGACTGCCAGGTAGCTCCAGAGCTGCAAATCCAACCCAACAGCCATGGGGCTGCACACTCAGTGTGAACGGCTCAGTGGTGTTTTCAGCTGGCGCCAGCCAGCCGTGCAGAGAGGGAAAGCGGCTGCTGCCAGTCTGCCAGCTGTGCTGCAAAATCCTGCCAGCGGGGGAGCGGGCAAGCAGCAAGGGCCCTTAAGGGCTTTCAGGCTTTTGCTGCCACAGTCCTGGGCCCTGGCAGCTGTCTGGGACTTGGGCCCTGTGGTCCTGTGTCTCACCAGAAGGGTGCCCCCACCCCTCCGCTTAGGAGTTCAGGCTCCCTGGCTCATTTGGGCCTGGCTGTGACTAACCAGACCCCAGCCAAAAGAGCTAAAGTGAGTTGCTTGCCTCAGAGGCTATGGTGGCCCATCTGCTGGGGCCCAGAAAGAACTGCAGCAAGGGGGCCCCTGAGGCAGCAGAATGGGGGGCAGCGGGTAAGAGTTCAATTGCCACCAGCAGCCCCCCCTAGGGCAGACAGGCTCCTGTGTCCCATTCCAGCCCCCCGCCAGACGGGCGCCCCCTAGAGGAGAAAGGCCCCGTGCTCTATTCCCCACCCCTCTGAGCCAGCCTTGCTTAGCTGCCCCCCCTCTGGATGGACCCAGGGTTACTTCGCCCGCACCCTGAGCTCCTGGTTGTCGGGTGCGGGGGGGGCATGGAAGCACCCCATGACCTCCCCCATCCCCTAAAGGGGCGACCAAGCCTCCACCAATGCCGCTCTGCAGCGCCACCAAAGCCAGCTGCAAGCGAGGACATAGGCCAGCTCCCCTGTGCGGGAAGTGGGGTGATGGGGGGGCAGCGACTGCGGCGGGATGGAGTCGGCTGCTGGGAGGTAGGGCAGGTTTCGGGGAGGGGGCAGGAAGGGGATAGGGAAGAGTTTGCTGTGGGTCGGGGGGGAGGGGACCTGGGGGGATGAATGCTGGTGGGGGGTGGAGAGGGGGATGGGTGAGCGGTGAGGACTGTTGTTGGGGGTCAGAAAGGCAGGGGTGAGGGGCTGGGCTGGACGGCGGAGTGCCGGGAAACACGCAGGACTCGGAACTCGCCGGCTCCACCTTAAGCGGCCGGGGGAAGGGAGGTTGCGGGCAGCGGCGCCTCCTTAAGCCGCGCGAGGGGCTGCGGGTCCCGGGCGGCGGCGCGTGCGGCGGGGAGGGAGGGGCTCGCGCTGCCTGCCCGGGACCAGCCCGCGCGCCACCGACTCCAGCTGCAGCCGCGGCAGCGCTTGGGGAGCCCGGCCGGGGGATAGCGCCCGGGGAAGGAGGAGCGACTCCGCGCGGGCAGGGGGCGGCGCGCCGAGCCGGTGCAGCGGGGAGCGCCAGCGGCGCCGGGACCGTGCAGCCGCCCGCAGAAGGCCCGCCGAAGGAGCCGGTGCAGCGGGCGCAGCTCCCGGGGGAGGGGAGGCAGAGAAGCGGTAGCGGCCCCGGCCGGGCGAACCAGGAGGCGGCGGCATGGCCGGGCCCCCGCCGCCCCCGCCGGGGCAGGAGGCGCCCCGCTACCAGGAGTGGATCCTAGACACCATCGACTCGCTGCGCTCCCGCAAGGCGCGGCCGGACCTGGAGCGCATCTGCCGCATGGTGCGGCGGAGACACGGGCCGGAGCCCGAGCGCACCCGGGCCGAGCTGGAGAAGCTGATCCAGCAGCGGGCGGTGCTGCGAGTCAGCTACAAAGGCAGCATCTCCTACCGCAACGCCGCCCGCGTCCAGCCGCCCCGCCGGGGGGCCCCGGCGCCGGCCCCGGCCCAGCGCCCCGGGGGCGCCTCCCGCCCGCACCGCGCCTCCCCGCCCGGAGCGTCCCCCGCCGCGCCCCGCTCCACGCGGGCACCGGCTCCCGCCGCGCCCCGCTCCCACCGGGCAGCGCCCCGCGCCGAGCCGCCGCCGCCGCCTCCTCGTAGGACCGGCCGGGAGCGGCCGCCGCCCCCTGCGCCCCCGGCCCCAGAGGAGGAGGCCCCGGAGCGCAGCTCCCCAGTCAGCCTGCGGGAGATCGTGCGCTACC